GTTTGCCATTTCCCCTGCTTCATCCTCTTTTCTTCCCCCTTCCTTCCCCTTCACCAGGCAGTCTTTTTCCTGCCCCAGTGGTCCAGCTCTTCTTCCTCCCTCCTGCCACAAGACTGTTGCTGCTTTATTCACTGATGGTTCCTCTACACCAGGGGGTCCCCAAACTACGGCCCGTGGGCCAGCCCCGGCCCATCGAGGCCTTCCTACCAGCGTGTGGCCCGTCCTGCCGCTGCCGCTTATGCGCGCCACTGGACACCATTTTGTCTTCCAAAATGGCATCCGGAGTCGTGCGCTTGCACCTGGCGTTGTGCGCGTAAGCGCATGACTCCAGGAGCCATTTTGGAAAACAAAATGGCGCCTGAGTCATGTGCATGTGTGCGCGCGTCCCTTTGACCCCCCGGAGACCTGGGGGCCAGCGAACTGGCCCCCGATCAAAACGTTTGGGGACCCCTGCTCTACATTGAAGAAATAATTAATTGTTGTAATTGTCTTTGTTTAAATTGACTTATTATTCTGCTCATTGTTTTAACTTAGATTGTACGCCTCTGGCAGGTTTTATTTGTTTTATTCTTGATTGTCTTTTGTACAGCGCTGAGTACACTGACATTGCTCTAGAAATAAACTTTCATAAACTTTAATAAATAATGCAGCTTGACACATCTTTAACTGTCATGGCTCCATTTTACAGAATCCTGGGACTTGTCATTTTGAGGCACCTGCACTCTTTGGCAGAGAAAGCTGTCTGTCTGTGCGTGTGCGTGTGCGCACATGTTGTGTGCCTTCAAGTCATTTCCAATTTATGGCAACCCTATCACAGTGGAAGTAGACCAAGTCTATGCAAATGTACGCCACAATTTCTTTCACACGGTTAATCTTGGCATACTGCTACTGTATACTAACACAGCTATGTCTCTGGATTCATTGCCCAGTATTAGAGAAGGTAGAAGGCTGAGCTAGGAAAGCAAATAGTATGCCCTAGGTTGCTGCCACACTGCAGAATTAATGCACCTTGACACTGTTTTAATAGTCATGGCTCCATCCTATGGAATCCCGGGAGTTGTACTTTGCTGTGACGCCAGAGCTCCCTAACAGAGACAGCTGAATATATCATAAAACTACAAATCCCAGGATTCCATAGCATTGAGCCATGGAGATTAACTACATTAATTCTGCAGCATAGATGCAGCCATTGAGAAGGAATAGTAGTTGTGTGGCCATCTAGATGTTGCTGGATGCAACTCTCAGTATGCCTTGCCTTTGGGTTGCTGGGAGCAGCAGCTCAACAGAAGCTTGCAAGGCTTCATGATATCCTCTCATTACCTTGAGTAAGACCATCTCCTACATCCAGTTGAACTCCATGGGACTTCTGCTGAGCAGATAGGCATTACATCCACCTGCAGCGATTGCTTGCATTCAAACTGTTTCAAGGAGTGTAAAAAGTAAGGGGTATCACCCAGTCCAAGTCAAATTCAACAGGAACGTCACAGTAAAATTCTCCCATTGAAGTCAATGGAACATGGGACTGTTAAACTTTGACTGGATTGTAACCTCCAAGGTAATCCTTGGCCAGTTTTCCCCCCTCCAGATTACATATTAAAAATCTTTCTAATTGTTCAAGGCCAAAGTTTGGCTGGTTAATTCAGAACTACCTGGTGTCTCTCCCCATCTCCCACACCAGTCCAGGCTTTTTCAGCCCTCTGACCTCTCTATATTTCCTTTATCCCTAAACACATTGTTGCAATTCCCATCCCTATCTTGCATTTCTGCTGGAGGCTTCCCACTTTGTCCCACTGATTTTGTGCTTCCTTCGCAGACTGCTGGCTTTCTGAGAAAGACCTTTACGTATTAAAGGCCCAGCAATCTCAGTTAATAAAAGTGGCTGGTAAGAAAGCAACTCTGGGATCATAGAATCAGAGTTGGAAGAGACCAAAAGGGCCATCCAGTCCAACCCCCTGCCATGCAGGAACTCAAAATCAAAGCATTCCTGACAGATGGCCATCCAGCTTCTGTTTAAAGACCTCCAAAGAAGGAGACTCCACCAACTTCCAAGGGAGTGTGTTTCACTTTCAAACAGCTCTCACTGTCAAGAAGTTCTTCCTAATGTTGAGGTGGAATCTTTTTTCCTGTAGCTTGCATCCGTTGTTCCAAGTCCTATTCTCTGGAGTAGCAGAAAACAAGCTTGCTCCATCCTCAACGTGACATCCTTTCAAATACTGAAACGGCTATCATATCATCTCTTAACCTTCTCCAGGCTAAACATACCAGCTTCCTAAGTCTCTCTTTATTGGGCATGGTTTCCATGGAGCATGGAGATAGCTATAATACATTCAGAGATAAGAGGCAGAGAAAATTTGTAACCCACCATGCCTCCTCCCCTATCACAGGAGTGGATCTTCGTGAAGGTGCTAGACTACAGATCCCAGAAGCCTCATTCAGTGTAGCCAATGATAAGGGATGCTGGGAATTGCAGACATCTGAAGGACATTTGCTCCAATGCATGCACACATACATACCCTTGCAGCCAAAATATTTGGCTTTCCTCATCTCTGCAGCTTCTCAATATGCACGCATCTTCTCTCTGTTTTGACAATCCCATTTCTGACCTTCAGTTCCAAACCATTCCTTTCCAGTCTCCTTTGCTGGGATGTCTGGTTTGCCTTGGTCTGTTGTCTTTTCAGAGCCAGCAAGAGGTAGTGAGTAGTGTTACCAAAGGTGTGCTAGGGAGATTCCAGCTCATAAAGTGACCCTGGACCACCCACAATCCTTCATCATGCCCTACGTCTCTGTGAATGCATGTATACCTTCAGGTCACCTGTCAACTCATGGTGACCCCATGAGTTTCATAGGGTTGTAATCAGAGGTGGTGTGCTATTGCCTTCCTCTGAAAGATACCTTACAGTCTTGGTGGCCCCCATCCAAGTTCTCAGCAAGCCTGTCCCTGCTAAACTTCCAAGAGCAAACAGGATATTTAGGGTTGTTGTAGGGATAAAATAGGGACAGAAAGAACCAAGTATATACTCCATTGAGTTGAAAGCCAAGACATAGCATATATTTCCAAACTTGGAGAGTGGGCCGCCATTATGTATCAGCAGACTTTGGAAAATCCCAAGGTTTGCAGAAGTACAAAAATAACAGGGCTGGAATGGGGTATGTGTGAAACCCATGGACACACAGAAAAGTAGACAAAACCACTGCATGTCTGAATAGCTCACATTGTAGTGAATACTGAGAAGTTGTTTTTGAAATATCCTTAGAGATCAAAGCCCCATGTTCAGAAAACCTGTGTTCCATTCACATGCATAGCTAGCTGCATGTTCAAATGTTGAATAACTTGCAAATCAAGGCCTAAGTTGCAACATAGGCTGCCTTTAATTTTTGTTTTTCTCAGCTAAGTCCCAGGCTTAGGGAACAAATTCACATCAGGAATGCACAGTAACATTTTGCTGCCAGCCACCTCGTGTTTTCTCTGCTTCTAAGGTTCCAGCCTTGGATGTCATTGCTTATGTAGCCAACAGAGACATCTGATGAAACCACCCATGGACAACAGGGAGCTTTCATCAGATTTGTGAAACTCCAAAATTTAGCAAAGTTCAAAAAAGAGGTCCTAAAGGAGACTGAACATGAACAGTGAGTGCAAAATGGTGACTGGCATTTTGTTTTGGCTCCCACTTGTAAATGTAATGTCAAGACTCCTGCTTTCTCCCTTCCTTCTTTGCCTAAGACAGGAATGGACCAACTCTGGGGCTATTTGTCCATCCTCTAGATACCCTGAGAAGTTCCAAACTTTCAAAATGAATCCAGAAGTTCCTAGGTACTTCTTGTTTTCAAGGAAAACAAATCATAATCAGCTAAAATGAAGTGTTTAGTGAAATACTCTAGCCTAAATCCTCTTTGATAACTTGAGTAGACCAACTGAATCAATATACAGTAGGTAGGTCCTTGGTATCTGTTGGGATTTGGTTCCAGGATACCAAAATCTGTGGATGCTCAAGTACCATTATATACATTGGCATAGTAAAATGGTGTCCCTTATATAAAATAGCAAAATCAAGCTTGGCTTTTTGGAATTTATATATTTTTGGAATATTTCCAAGCCGTGGATAGTTGAATCCGTGGATATGGAGGGCTGACTGTAATTAGGGAAGTGTTGACCCAACATTTAAATATTGCTTCAGGGTGTCTACAGTAACTGAGATTAACATGACTCAGGCCCTTGTTTTACTGAAGAATCCCCCTTGACACTAAAATTATGAATTTGAAAATAACATTTGTGGGATAAATGTTCTTCCTCTAGGGTTGGTAAAACAGCTCCGGTAGAAAGCCCACAGGATTTGTTTTCCTAACCTAGAACATCTGCCTATGCTGCCCATCTACCAGCCATTGGCAGCCAGGAATGGGCATGCTTTTCCTCCAGCCTGCCCTACATCTGATATAAGGACAGCTCAACCAATCACTACCATCTGTTCCACATCACAATATAGGTTGGAATTCACTAAGGCAGTTACAAATGTGTAAAAACTTTAGTTCTATAGCTATGTAGTGTTTTCTGATCAGACTTCTCCCTCCCCACTAAACGGACAGCAGCTGCTGTGATTCACAGGGGTCTGTTCCCTTGTCGATCAGGATGCAAATGAGTGCTTTCCCGTCCTTCCCATGAACGATCTCTAGTGTGACAGATAAAACAGGGTCCCTATCACTATTCCTTTTGCTGGAAATCGCTCATGCAGAGGGTGAGAACATCAGTCATCTGCTTCCCAACTGACATAGGAACAGATTCCTGTCAATTGCAAAGGCTGCTTTCATGTCCCTACATATCCCCTAAAGAAGGGAATGTGTGTGTGTGTGTGTTGTGCTTCAAGTTATTTCCAACTTATTATGACAACCCCAAGGGCATAATATCATGGGGTCTTCTTGGTAAGATTTGTTCAGAGGAAGTTAACCATTGCCTTCCCCCAAGGCTGAGAGAATGTGACTTGCCCACGGTCACCCAGTGGGTTTCATGGCCCAGTTGGGAATTGAACCCTGGACTCTAGAGTTGTAGTCCAGCACTCAAAACCACTACACCACACTGGCTCTCGACAGCAGTGACTAAGGGGACTAGGGATCATAAATATGAACCAGTCACTAACACGTAACCAACCCTAGGTTATGCACTGATAGCTGCCTTAGCAAATTTCAGCTACTGATAACCAGTGTCACTACTGGCACATGCAGTGGCACAGAATTTCTTTTCCAAATGAGCTCAGAAAAATTAGACCTTTTCAATAGTTTATCATCAATCTCACTCCTGCTGCAATTTTAGAGGACTGGGAGGTATCTCTTCCCTTTCTCAAAAGACTTCAGCAGTCTACTTGCTTTAATAATTGGCAATTGTTTCTCTTTTTGGAATCTTATTCTCAGTTGAACCCTGTGGGGCCATTGGGGGAATAGGTGACCCTGCCATGAGACAGGAAGCTGAATGGTATGCCTTCGACCGTAGGTGACAACCAGGAATAAGACCCTGTCCAAGGGTGACATCCTAACGTTGGAATGCCTACTTTGATGGCACAAGGCAAAAGCCTTTCCCCAGGTTAATAGATGTATTTTATTTGTATTTTTAACAATTAAAACCACTTCAGAACTCAAACCATGCTGCCATGTAGGATATAGAGCTTTACGTTTGCCTATGACTGAAGTCCACCTAATGCAGCAGTTGTCCTCCTGCAGCGGTCAACCAGATGCCTTCAGGAGCCTCACAAAGAGGTGGTGATGGATGACGGTGGTCATACACTTCTTGACTGGCAGCATTTGCAACTCAGAGACCAAAGTGAAACCTGCAACAAAATGTTGCAGTGTGATGGGCTCCTCCTGCTCAGGGTACCGGGAAGCAGCTAGCCACACCCATCGCCCCTTTCCAAAATACTCAATTGCATGTCTCCTTCCTCCTCCATTTCAGAGTTTTCCATTTCTACCCCAGTTCAGTTGTCAAGCCAGCATTGCAACACCATTCAGCACACTCAGTTTTGACTGGAATGTCTCAGCCACATGCACCACCATCCTAACAATTTTGTGTACTTCTGTAAACCTTGAGGAACTTAAAATACCACTGCTGCCCCCTCTCTTGTGTTTGGATAATACCATACTGGCTTCCTAAGCTGCAGAGTCTTAGAATTAATTTGCTATTCTATGGCACAGGTGGGGAACCTCATGTGGGGAGACACAAATCCCCCCTACTAACCCCTAACCTTACACAAGCTAAACCATTCTGTGGTGCTTTGACACCTAACTGTACCCCTTTGTCTTCCCCAGAAAACAGGGAAGAACAAAGTATTTGCTGTCTCTTTTGAGTGAATAACAACAGTGCAGACTCTTTCCACTAGCCAACAATGGTTAGCTTCTGTAGGCTAGCAAATCCCCACCCCTGTTATATAAGAAAGTATGTCCTTCAAGTAGACTCCATGCTACAGTCAGTGTCACCAATTGCTGTTGACATGTCTACTCTGTTTTTGTTGAGAAATGCCTAATTTATTCTCTATTTACTATTGTCAATTCTGTTTTACTGAGCAACTACTTGTAGCTACTAACCAATATAATCGATCTCCATATAATTAATGGCCATGTAAACGTTTCTGTCTCCTTAGCTAAGCTTGGTTTTAAAACTGAAACTTTGCAACCTTTGGTTTAGATGCAATATTTCTTACACCACTTGTAATTTAGCATTATTATTGTTGTTGTTATTTTTATTATTATTACTATTATTATCCCACTCTTTTCCCAGAACTGGGACCCAGAGTGGCTTCAGCCACTGCCATTTTTGTTCACATTTTTCCCATCTCTTTTTATTTCACTACTATTTTGGACTGTAAGCTTCGTCTATACAAAAGTGTAAGGGACCACACAAAGCATAACGCTCTAACCCAGTGGTTCCAAACTTTGGTCCTCCTGATGTTTTGGACTTCAGCTCCCACAATTCCTGATTGCCGGCCAAACTGGCTAGGACTTCTGGGAGTTGGAAGTCCAAGACACCTGGAGGACCAAAATTTGGGAATCACTGCTCCAACCCTTGCTTTCTGTAATGTTTCTGTACCTTCTCTTTTCCTACATTTTTATCTCAGGACAGGCTGACAAAGTGGTATAATGTACTCTAAAAACAGGAATACACCAACTTTATGTAAGCAGTATATTTTTTATCACATTCTTTTCATCCATTTCCTCAAGAGTTGGGAGGGAGAGGGGTTTTTTGGTGGTTGTTTGACTTTAGAACTCCCTCCCTAGATGGCTCCTTCTCTTTGCTCTCCTTTACTCCCAGGAAGTAAAAACATTCCTATTCTGCAAAGCTTGTAGGAATTGGTGGCGATGGGCTTTTAATGGTTTGCTGTTCTATTGATTTTTTTTAAAAAATTGCCTTTTAATGATTTTAAAATGTTTTTTACTCTACATATTTTTAGTTTTTATATTGACATTTTTGTATGGATTTATGTATAACCCATATCTATAGGTTATCTATGGATTATGTATAACCCCAGAGTTGAAAGGCCCTCCTTCCATCTGAACTGCTAACCATCCTAGCCTTGGGGGAAGGAAAGGCAAGCACAGCTGTACCACGCTTAGCCCTTAGAGGCAGATGAAGCCCCCCCCCTCCATTTTAACTGCTTGATCCCTTTCCCCACTGCCATTCTCTTCTCCCTTTGTCTCATGTCTTTTTAGATTTTAAGAGTGAGGGCAGGGAACTGTCAAATTAGCTATTTGTAAACCACTCTGAGAGCCTTTGTGGCTGAAGAGTGGGGTATAAATGCTTTAAGTAAATAAAATATGGGTTTTCATCTGTACTGAATCTTCTTATTATGGAAAAGGCAGAATAATAGTTATTGCTTTGCTGTTATTTTCTAACTAGGGCTTTACATCATTCAATGCCATAGCTAATATTTTCAATTACTGCCTTCCCAGGCACCTACAGCCAAATGCAGGATTATCTGCTTCAATGTGCAGCATCTCATACTGATGTTAAGGGTTGAGTGGGTCCAGATGAACACCAAGACACAAGGCTAGCCCTGCCCTGTCATGCCCAGCAGATGAGCATTCAGGGCCCTGTGTGTTACATGTATGTACATGTATGGTAACTTTACCCTGAGAAGACCGATATTTTAAAGTCTGTCTGGGTTTCACTATCCCAGGAACCTGCTCAGCTCTCCTTTTTTCCATATATCTCTCCTTGTTCAACCTTTCTCCCAAATCATTTGTGCAAGTTAAATAGCACCTGTCTACAAAGAGACCCTTGGGGTCCCTTTCTCCTTCCTTGTTCTCTATGGGGGGAAGAATCATTCCTCACCAAATGTTCAGAAGGGAAATAACTAATTATGGGAAAGGTCCTACTGTGAAAAGATAATTGGTTAAACAGGAAGTAGAGGTTAAGGGCTTTGTTAAGAGCTTTATGGAAATCTCAGCATATGGTGTCAGACAGATCACACTCAAGTTGCTTGCCAACACCCTCAAAGAATGCTCAGATTAACAAAGCAAAACTTTCTGTAGACCTCATGCCAATTTCCCCAGTAAAGCCTATACATAACAACTAAGTGAGACAGAGGTTATGCTAAAGGTCTGGAATTCCTTAGACTATTGCAAAGCCTTTTTTAAAAAACAAAAACCCAGTAGTAGATTGCCTCCTCTCTAATTGTAAGTCTAAGTTTAGAAATCTTATAGTTCTACATGGAAGCTTTTAGGCAAGTGACATCCAGGGCTGTATCCGCTATGCACTCTTAAAATTCAGAACTACTTTTTCACCTCTATTGGATAGTTTTTTCAACAGTACTGTTGGGAAACAACATGACAGGCACAGAATTCATCAACTGCAGTAAAGGACTGATGCAAGAAATTAATTTCATCTTCCTGGCATTTCTATACCATCAGCATTCTTTATATCTTAGTCATACAGCAGTCCAAATCTCTGTATTATTGCCAAGGATATTATTGGATGGTGTGTTATTAGCAACTGATTCCAGGAATTTTGCTTTTTGTTTGCCTTGTTTTACACACTTTACTGGAGTTCATCTTCCTTTACGTTCTCATCAATTGAGAAACTTCCTCTCTTTAAACCAACTTTCATTCTTTCAGGCTATTTTTGCACCATTTCTAAATAAGGAGTATAAACTTCACTTGTTTGCAAGTCTGTCCCAAACTGTTATTTTGGCATCATTTTTACAGCATCATTATGAACAAACCATTAAGTTTTGCTGCTTTAGCAAATTCTCATTCTATTTTCCTGTTTATCTTAATTCTACCAACGTTTTGATCAGGGAGCCAAATCTATACAAGGCAAATGATACATGTTTATCCAAAATGCTTGGAAACAGAGGTGTTCTAGATTTTAAATTTTTTTGGTGGGGAGGGGGAGAAGCAATTCAGAATACCTGTATTTGCATATACATACATAATGAGGTATCTTGGAGTTGGAGATGGGACTAAAGTCTAAACACAATTTTAATTCTGTTTCATATATACCTTATACACATAGACTGAAGGTAATTTTAATAAATATTTTAAATAATTTTGTGCATGAAATACATGCTTGTGTACACTGAAACATCAAAAAGCGAAAGTGTCACTATTTCACCCACCCATGAAAAAAAGTTTTGGTTTTTGGGATTCTGAATAAAGGAGACTAAACCTGCATAGTGTTGGTAAACTCAGACAAGATGAGAATTAAATCTAAAACAGTGTCCTTTGAACTAGGTGGTGCAACATGCTTATCTTGTTTTTAAAACTTCCAGCTGCCTTCTTCTAGGGAAATATTACTCAGCGGCAATGAATGAAGTACAAAGAAAATGCAACATTTTTATTTCACCTCCTATAAACCTGCTTCAAAGTAATTCTAAGATCCAAACCAGCTTATCATTTACTTTGTACAGGAATGAATCCTTGCTCAATTTAGTGTGGATATTAAGTTATAGAGAACATTTTGTAAACAGGTTAAGAGGTCTGGAAGGAGACAACAGTACCCAGCATCAAGGATATGACAAAATTATCATCCATATTAGGAGCACCAGGATTAAAAGCAGACTATGTCATGTTAATTCTTCAGGAGCGCTATTAAGCCT